GTAATGAAAAACCCTACAGCACGTGCTTGACATGGCTTACACGACCCCTAAAAAGGGGTGTCGTTTCTCATCATATAAATTTCATGCATATTTTCCAAATTTCGAGGTTTGGCTTATGAAACTTCATTATGCAAATTATTTAGAATGATAATTTGTCCGGGACTTATCAAAGATCGCGCTTAGATTATTTTTTCATCCTACGGTTTTTGGGCCACGGCGATAAACGAAACCACTCTCGTTTTAAACATTTGTATCGAACAAGTAAGATGCGTGCTTTCGGAAACGTTCGAGGATGCGCAGTGAGGGTAAAGATGATACACTCTTTCCGCACACAATACATACCTTATTGACTCCCGCCAGCTGTTGCTGTCACCTTAACCTTGACCCATTAACAAATAAGTTGAACAATTTTGGTGTGTGAGAAAAAATTATGTATAATCTTTTCCCCCTCTGTAAAGTTTTTAGCGAGCGAGTCTAATCCTAGGGTAAATTAGGTTTAAGGCCACGGAATATGTGACTAAAAAAGACAGTATCTCTCATTTTTGTGGTGCTGCATGGAAGCCAGACGACACTTGAGTGGCATTAAAGGGCACTTTGATGAACAGGCCTATAAATTACAAATCAGCAAGCTAATTGTGTGAAAAGCTAGGGAAGCTAACGAGTACTCGAGATGCACACATGAATAATCAGTACAATAGCAACAAAAAATAGCCGACCCGTTGTCTGGATTCTGATTGAACTCATAGCACGTCAGAGCGAGTGTGCAACGGTGGACACTACATGCATAATCTGTAGTCTTGTTGCCATGCATCTGAGTTTGATGGATTTTGTCAGCTAGCGATTGTACAATGCATCCAAGCTTTTGTATGATAGCCAATCAAAATGCACACACCAATCAAACGGCGCATGCGTAATCCCACTCGCAGTCTTGTAAGGGGAACCTTTTCAGTTTACTAGGAGCCGTATCATTCGGCGTCCCTTCCGTTAAGACGCCGCAGCTTTACCACACCGCAGACGAAGAGAGTAGTTTTGGCTACCAGTTCGCAACACAATTGAACCAGCTCGAGTCGAATCACCCAAAGCTTCCTTACTCTAGCCAAAGCCACGATACGATGCACACGGCTCAGGCACTCGCATCCATCCGGCGCGCACGTACTAACGACACCGAAGGTGGAACTTCACGCGTACGAAAGTATCCTAGCGAACACTCGTCACTCTTGCATGGTCATGGACACAGTGGCAGCAATGGTCACGTGAGCAGCATGGGCTATCAATTGTCCTCGGGTGCCACTTCAAGTGATTTTAATGACAAGCCGCTGTCACTTAAGGAGGATTTGCATGCAATTTACGATATGATCAAGCAACAACCGCTTAATTTATTGCTACTTTCGGCGCCACTTGCCATCTGGGCCTCTATCGGTGGTTGGAGCGACATGTGGGTCTTTGTCTTTAATTTTCTCGTTATGATTCCTCTCGCCAATCTGCTGGGTGAGGCCACTGAATCGTTGGCTTTCCACACGGGCGAAACTATTGGTGGACTTGTCAATGCGACGTTTGGCAATGCTGTTGAGGTTATTGTTGCCATCTTCGCACTCAACGCAGGCGAAATAAGCGTAGTTCAAAGCTCACTTATAGGCTCGGTATTGTCCAATCTGCTGCTTGTCTTAGGTTGTGCCTTTATTGCTGGTGGTCTGCACAACAAGGAAAGTTCGTTTAATGCTGTGGGTGCGAGCGCCAACTCGTCGCTGCTCATGTTGGCCAGTTTCGCCATGCTTCTACCCAGCTACATTTTTTACTTCTCCGACAACGACTCGGAAGAAACGCGTGTGGCCAATACGCTCATTCTCTCACGCATTGCTGCCGCCTTCCTGCTCTTCATGTATCTTCAATTGCTATATTTCCAGCTCAAGACACATGCTGATTTTTTTGAAGATGTGCAAGACGACTCCGAGGAGACTGTAGCTCTCTCTATGCGTGCTAGTGCTGTTGTGCTACTATTGGCGACTCTACTCGTGTCATTGTTCTCGCAGTTTCTTGTCAACTCTATTGATGGGTTTGCTACTCAATTGCACTTAAGTAAGTCGTTTATTGGAATCATCCTGTTGCCGGTCGTCGGGAACGCTGTAGAGCACGTAACGGCCGTCAAGGTGGCACTTAATAACAAAATGGAGCTGGCAATGGGCGTCGCAGTGGGATCAGCCACGCAAGTTTCGCTTTTTGTGGTGCCTGTTGTCGTGCTTTCGGGATGGTTCATGGACCGCGCCATGTCATTGGCATTTCCTCAGTTTGAAATCCTTATCTACCTCATGTCAATCATTATCGTGTATGCGATTATCGCGGATGGCAAATCCAACTGGCTTGAGGGCTCTATGCTTCTTACAGCTTATGCACTGGTGGCGATCGCACTTGTTTGGGTAGAAGTGCCAACGACAGAGTAAGGAGCAATTAAGCCTCTAGTACTATCATAGCTTCTGAGTGTACAACTAATATCAAATAAGTTGTAATCTTTTTGCCCATCGTTTAACTGGACTAGAAGTACGCTCTTTGTCCGTATTGGATGTTACGAAATGATACATGCTTTTGAGAAACTTACGATCTTTGGCACGTACGCGATAAAGTACTCTTTAATGTACCTTCTTCTTAATTGAAATAGCCCGTCGTCTTTGTCTACACATACAGGTATCTTTGCTGTTGCAAACGTGACAAGATATGATCGCATAAAATCTTTTCTGGGAATTAGATGCAATGTACGCGATTTAAACTTTTGGTTTTGAGCTCTGACTACCATGAAATCTCATATAACACAAAACTTTGATAACATTCGTCACTATGGCTATCGCAACATTCAAAAGTGTCAAATGAAAAGTGTGGTTAAGCGAAAACGGTAAGATTATCAGAAACAATGTTTGTCCGTCAAGAACGTGTCAACAAATCTTGGCGATCGAAACAATAAATAGAAGTGTAGCAAAGCTATATTTGTGGTCAGCTATGATCTTGCAAGAATAGCAGGGGGGCTGCTTTCAATACAGCGTAATAATAAAAAATTGCATTTCTGCAAAAGACACTCCTTTCTATTTTTTTGCGCTGGAATTGTTCAAGATGAAGATATCAATAGTGTAGTATTCGCATCTGCGAAATATGAACAAGACGACGTGTTTAATTTAGCGATTGACTATTTTCATGCATGAGTAGGCAATACATGCGATCGAGTGCTAGAAAGTGTTGTTGAATTTGTGCGGCTCGTCGACGTTGCGCTAGGACGTAGACGATAAGTCGGTCCGTCATTGACAGTATCAAAGGCACGATGTCGTGCCGTTGAGATGCAAATACAGCAAACACAGAGTCGCTCAATCACACCAATGAGACTCTCAACATCTTGAAATCTTGAACATGAGTTACATGTGTCGAGACTGCAAATACAGCATACGTGCTTTTTTCGCAGTCGTGAAACATTCACCACTTTGCCACAACCAGGGCAATTTTTGTTGCCTTCTTCAGAGGGATCAACCACGTATTCGGCTCCCAAACGCCTTCTAAGGGCGATGGCACCAATCGTAGGGATAACTTTGGCCAATTTTAGCAATGCTTGCGTCGTGCTTTCACGCGCAGTGCTAACTCTTAGTCTTGCCTTGACAATGCTTCTGGCTTTCAATTCTTCCCGAGTCATTGCATGTGTTCCAAAGTAAAATACCGACGTTTGGTGCAGTTTCGTCTGTTCTGTCAGCACGTAGCCCGCTAATGTATCACCAGCTAGTGCTAATCGACCAGCACGATCTCGTGTTAGCGTCTGAAATATTCGGACGGCAGTGCGGGTCTTGGTGTCATATTCAGCGTAATCTAGAAACTCAAACGTCTTGGTGCTCGAAACTAGCGGAATAGAGCCAGAAAACTGCATGCGTTTGATTGTCAAATGAACATGAGGCGATGCCGTCGGTATTTCTCGAAGCGTGACTGCAAACGAAAAGCCATCACCCGCAAGGGCTAACATCGTAGCATTAAATTCATCACTATTACGGCTGGAGAGAGCCTCTATGATTTCGCTGGCACTGCAAGGGAGACTCGTGGACGCCGCAATGTCAAACACTCCAGGGGTTGATTTTCGCTCAAACAAGCGCACACCTTGGCCATCTTTGCGTTCTTTCCATCCGAGAGTCACAAATACGTGCTGAGATGCCTCCACCGTGGCACGAGCTTTGGCAGCTAACGCTACTACTGCAATATCTTCGTCCTTGAAATCACGAGAAGTTCTAGACATAGATTGCGAGAAATCGCTAATGCTAAAGTTCATTCTGTGTCAGTTAACTTTTGTAAAGATTTGATTCTGATGCTTTACTATAAATAATGACTGGTATGGTTGGTGTAGGTGTCCCATCCGAGAGAACACCGGATGTATGTCGCAGTGTGATAATTTAACATTTTTCAGTTGATTGACATAGAGCGCAACAGCGCATACTGCACGTAGGCTTGTCATAAGCGGTAAGAATAACCCACAGATCAAAGCATGTACAACCATAGGACAAGATGGTAAAAAGGAGGATTTCTTCAGAATCGATAGCGAGGGTATTCTAATGACAACAGCTTCGCAGTGCACTACAATTTACAGCTACATCTATAATGAGACATGTACGGCGTTAAAACTCATGCAATGCCCTCTTTTTTTACTTGAAGCGGAAGAAGACGAGATAGCTTAACGGATTTCCAGCGGTAGCTGTCACCAATAGAACCAGCAGCAGTTTGGTCACAGCTTCCCCTTCGAGCTTAAATTTTGCAATAAAGTTATTGAGCTTGTTGGACTGCTAAGCTGCTCTCACTAGGATTCCCCTTCGTGCAGTGGTTTAGCACTGAGCCGTTGAACCAGTGGTCCGGTTCGAGTCCCATCATCAACAAGTTTTCACCACAAATTATAAAAGTAAGGCACTAACTCAAATAATCTCACTAGTAACCTAACAATTGGATTTTGAGCTGTCGTCACGTACAAGCAAAAGATCAAGAAAAAATACCCCCGCCAATAGAAGCAATATATATCTTAGTCAGGCTGTGTAGGTATAGCTATGTAATAAAAAATACTTAGTACTTTCAATTGAGCTGCTCTCACTATAAGGGGATAAATGTTGTAAACATTTACTAGGTCTTTGGTCTCTGTAATGGATAAGTTCTTAATTATGGTGCATGCACAACAGTTGCTTCTGTTAGCCTCACGTAGGAAGATTTATTGTTTAACATGGTATTGTTTATATATTAGTACTAGTTCGAATAAGGATTGTCCTGAATTTTGTTCAGAAGAGAAAATTATGTACTACATTGCAGAAGAGGCCTTCACTTCTACTCGTGGGTATCCGAAGCCTCTATGTGTTGTATATGCGATCACTCTATGTCAAGCTTCTTCTAGGCAAATTCTCAACAATCTGTTGTGTTAGAAATCGGCTTACAGCATACGTTGCGCGATCGAATCTCCAAACCATAGGACGACGTGATTGCGCACACGATGACGCGACATGATTGCGCCCACGATGACGCGTCATGATTGCGCCAAGAATAACGTCATAGGAAAGGCTCAGAGGTAACTCGGAATAGCGAACTAAGGACCTCAATATACTCACTTCGTCTTTTTAACAGGTTATGAGCCCAAGTAACTCAGACGACGCGCCAAGCGCACCGACCCCAGTCAGCTTCGACGCTGGCCAAGACAGGGCCACAGCATCTCCAGTAGTTGTGGTAGCCACGCCCACTGCTCATGGAAGGAGCAACAACGTCAACGCAAGGATTCTCGCTACGCTCCTCGACCTTCAAGCACGGATGACGCAGATGGAGGCTTCGCAAGTGAAGCGACACGAGGACGAGCGTATGATCGAAGCAATTGAGTCTGGCATGTTTCATTCCGCCCTTGGCAACGACTGAGGGGGTACTCCGATGCAAATCGACGCTCTAGGTCATTCGCCCGTGCAGCAAAAGGATGACCAAGGCCGCGCATACATGCAGCGTACGCATGAGGCAGGAAGACAAACTCCACAGTCGGAATGAGGCGCTCAGCGCGGCGAAGTGCCGCAGCAAACCCAGTTCCGCTTACCACAGTTCGCAGCGGCACAGGACTACGCGCGACGAATAGAGCCGGTCGCACAGCAAGCGATGCGTGTACCAGATGAGCGGCAGCACAGGCTCACGATTCACAAGTTTGACGGAACGGAGCTGTACTGAGATCTGGGCTCCGGGTTTCTGGATTGGGGTCGGACGTTCATGCGCCAGATTCAGTACGCGCAAGCAGCGTGTGGTCTTGATTGGTCAGAAGACGTGAAGACTGAATTGCTTGGTCACTACTTA